TGTCCTCTTGTTCGGCAACTTCAAAGATCACATAAACCTAGAACAGAGTTATGAAGGCATTGTAGTGCGATTGTTCACGTCAATGAGCTCTAACACCGATATTTATAGCCACGTGGTGAGACAAAAATATAACTATACTAATTTTTTCTAAGTTTTACTGACATCTGTTGGTATAATTCAAACCACGCTTGAGATACTACATATTTAATTCGAGATAAATCCCTAAACAGCTTAATACGTTTTCAAGTGTCTTCAGTGAGACAGCGCTGAATACATAGTATGACCAGAAATTATTGAGAATTTTAGGAATATGTTTAATTGGATTTCTAGTATAAACAACCTTGACCAGCTATCAAGTGCTTGGTTTCAATTCAAGAGAGACAACTCCGTTAATCCTTTTTCATTAGTTTGTGAAGAGTTATACCCTTTGTTTACTTGCTAGCAGACTACATTTTCAGTGATCCTCAGTATGGATGATTTAGAGAAGTGGAAGTTGATTTTAGAGTATTATAACAAGGACATCAGATCAGCTAAAGTGATTTCAAGTAGAACAGGCATCCCTTTGTCCACTGTTTATCGTGTTTTGAAAAATATTGCAAATGGATATGGCATTGAGCACCAGGGAGGCGCAGGTAGGCCCAGAAAATTGACTGTCGGTGACATGAGGCGGCTTGGTATTCTTGTTTCTAAAAACAAACGAAGGAGTTTAGAAAACTTAAGGCTGGATATGATTGATAGAGGAACTGTGCTGTCTGTAAGGAGACAATTAGAACTGAACTGCATGCAATGGGTTGGCAGAAAATTCGAGAAATTCCATCACCGATCATGAAACCTGAACAAAAGGAGCGAAGGTTGAACTGGTGCTTACAGCATAGAAATCTTACTGGGACAATGTGATTTTCTCAGATGAAAGTTCTGTGTGGCTGTTTCCTAATACACTGAAATTCTGGACCAAACAAACTGAAAAACCTTTGTATCAGCGCCCAAAGTACAGTCCGACATTTAACGTGTGGGGTAGCATATCTGTGTTAGGGGCAACGCCCCTCTGTGTATTTGAAGGGAATATGAACAGTGAGCGGTACAAGGATAGTCTCGAGGGACATTTCCTTCCATCTGCTCACGTATTCTAAGGAAATGTTTTGATTTTCCAGCAGGACAACGACCCAAAACATCGTTCAAAGCATTCACAGGCCTGGTTTGGGACGCAAAATATGACATTATTATATTGGCCCTGACCTAAATCCAGTAGAAAATGTTTGGGGACTTATGAAGGAAAGTGTCAATAAGAACAATCTGACAAATATTGCCATAAATGAAAGAAGAGGTGGTCCGATATTGGGACAGCATGGACCACGACTTTCTAACTTCTTTGATCAGTAGTATGCCCCGCCGCATTGCTGCCCATGGTGACTTGACAAAATACTAACTGTTCACCTGTCTTTGAATCTGGAGTTATGTTCTGCTAATATTCACATTTAATACGTGAGTAATGAGTGAAAAAAAATAAAAATTACAATCTTTAAATTCTCAATCATTTCTGGTTGCACTGTAATTAGCATAATTCAGTGACACTGTTGTGACATTGTAAAGGGATGCATCACAACTTTGTGGAATACAGACAGGAATGTTTTGGTGATTTCTTCCTGAATGATATGATATTCACTTATCACTCCTCTAAACATAAGAAATATTCCCAAATATCAATAAACTGCTTTTAATAGTATTTAAAAATCATAACGTATTTTGCAAATTATACTTGAAACTACGATAGGTAACTCTTCGATTGTCTGTGCATGTTCACTGGCAATCCTTGACCATGGTCATACTCATGGAGACGAATATGGGAAAAGATAAAAGTACAAGTGTTCCTTTATGTATTTCCAGATTTTCAAGAATGACAAGAAACCCGGAAAAGAGAATAGGAAAACTTGCACTTCCGTGTGTTCCTTTATTCGTTTCCATGAGTATATTTTACAGGCGCTTCTCTGGATCTCCCTCACTACATCGCCTGTTGGATCTTACTGAGTGACAGGTTTAACGGGTAGCATCAGCATCGATCCTGAACTAGCGCAATAAGTGCAAGTTAAGTTCCTTCTGATATAATACCAAAGAATATTAAAAACGACTTAAGACAGAAACCATTTAAATATTCTGCAAAAAAACTATGAACGTGCATCCATCAAGACTACACGCTTACATGGGTTTATAGTAGCCAGGTATAACATTAATAGTATGTCACTGGATAAAGCTGAATGCTCGTGATAAGACAATACAACGGTGAACGTTTCTGTGGGCTACTCTCTGTCAAGACCGGGCATTACGTTTTAAGCGTTGCTAATTCTCTTTGATCTTTGCCTTGACAGTGATCTTCATAGTGGTTAACATTTATGTAATAGTTGCCGGGATTTATTTAAATGTATACACGGCAAATCTCGCCGTCCATAGAACCCTGGAAGATAAAAAAAAGGCAAGTGTTGAAGATATTCCCAGGCGTTGGACGCACGACGTGTCCTTATCTCAAGGTGAGAGCTGCCCCATCCTTTATTAGCCAGTATCTTCAAACATGATTTTATCGCCAATCAAAATAATCTATACTCTGTATTCTTTCGTTACCTTATCTCGTGTTCGAGTATACGTAATTTATAGCCGGCTTGATAACTTACATATTACATTACATTACATCACATTACATCATTATGTGTCCCCCGCCGTGATATTGCTGGAATATTGCTAAAAGCTGCGTAAAACCCCACTCACTCACTCATTCGTGACCAACTCGTGTTATTCCGGGAGGTTACGCAAAGGGGCGAGTGGTGACGAATGCCGATGGGCGAGAATTCGCTGTTCAGAGTTGCCTCCCTTAGACGTGCATCTACGATCCATGGTTCCGTTGTCTGGTACGATGATTAACGTGTCACTATGTACCCGGCTTGTTGGCACCCGGCTTGTTGGCACCCGGCTTGTTGGCACCCGGCTTGTTGGCTTGACTGAAGTGGTAAACGTCTACCACCTGCACGATATCGGGCGTGGACGCGGCGTGAGATAACTCAAATAGTGGATAAAGCGGAATGGACAGACTTCGAGTGATGAGATACCAAGAATACAACTGTATGAATACCATCCTAGCTGACTCGTCAGGCGCGCACTACGCTAAATAAGTTGTCTCCAAGATGTACCATACAGCAGGTTAACTGTACATTATGTTGTTTGATAAAGCGTCCTGCGTTTTATGAAAGCATATAACGTTACAGGGATGCTTCATTTTATACAAAATGTGATACCATGTTTTATTTAAATGCATAGGCGGATCCAGTGCGTGTGTGTGTGTGTGTGTGTGTGTGTGTGTGCGCGGAGGGGGTGCGCACCCCCTTCTTGTCCTGAAATTTTATAAAATGACCATTGAAACTATCGTGAAGATGAAGTGTGCACCCCACCTTTCTCAATAGTGTGCACCCTTTCTCCTTTCTCACAAAGCTGTAGCCGCCCCTGCAATGTTATCAGCAGACAGTCGTGTGTCACATCCACGCGGCCTGGGTATTTAGGTTAATGACGAATATGCACGTTTTGTCATTCATGATATATGTGACTGGAAAATATGACAATCCTGTTCTTGTACTAAAGTAGTTGACTTCTTAAACTGCTACGGGGCTTCTCGGGGAATGAACCAGTCTGAACCAGTGATGAATTTCGAAGAATAGTGTAACAGACATAAACTTGTGATTCCACACTTCAACTATAGCGCCTTGTAGTGTTGCGTCAACTTTTAACAGGTCATATCGAGAGAGCGGGTCAGTGAGTTAGAGATAGATAGATCCGAACTTTCGAGTTCATTCGCCATTATTCGCCTTTTTCAGTAACCTGCACCTTATACCGGATTAAGTCAAGTATTTACGTGAGAAGATCCAACCTATCTTTAAATGTTTGTTGTGTCCCGAGAACAGCTCTAAAACGTCAAAATGGAGTTCATTCAGTGATTACTTTCTCCATGATCTTATTGACAATATGTTGTTGTGTCTATCAATACTGTACCGTTGGTATTTTTAACAGAACACAACGACAAAATATAACCTGTTTTTATGCATTTATTTGTATAAAATTATATATCACATAATCTGACAACAGCCATATCTCCATATATATAATTTGTTATATTACAATATGATATCATACAATTCTATATCTTTCTATACATTATACAAATTCTATACATTACACAAAGTAAACAACATTGCCGTTTTTAACAGCTAACAACAATTTATTGCCACCGATGCTAAATGATTGCATTTTTCGACAGTTTCCTAGTACAATATAGAACAAACTTTATGGATAACAACTTCTTTTTATTCGTGAGTGCGACGTTTCGATACAGATTCTTGTACCGTTGTCAAGCATAATGGAACATGAAGAAGGGAGAAGTATATATATACTGAATGTAACCATGTAACAAAGAAAACAACATTATTAACATAATTGGCTAGGCAGAAAGCTGATGAAGCCAGAGAGTAGACAAAGGACAGGCGTGGAAGCCAATGATGTACAAATACAGTAGATTGGGCTTGGTGGATGAGTGCATCATAAGCGGATGGAATGAAGTATCCTTGGTCTCGGTTGATGGTGGGCTTTTGGCGTTTGATGTGGATGGCTTCGGTGAGCTTGCGTTTAGTGAAGTCTGTTTACTTGTTAGAGAGAATGGTGATGTCAGACCACTCTATTTGATGATTGGGGCTTCCCCCTTCTTCATGTTCGATTATGTTTGACAACGTTACAAGAATCTGTATCGAAACGTCGCACTCACGAATAAAAAGAAGTTGTTATCCATAAAGTTTGTTCTATATTGTACTTCCCAACTTCTAACATGCCACTCCAAGAAGTTTCCTAGTATAATGTAATAAGATGACTTTTAGAAATGATTGAACTATGTTAATATAACGTAAGTTCAGGTGGTTGTGACACTGTTGACAAAATGAAATATTCCCCCATTTTAACAGACTTGTTTTCAAAGGCATCTACTTACCCTGATTAAAGTAGACCTACCAGATTACCTATGGAACAACGAAAACATGTCATGTGGCACTCTAGAGGATATCTTTATTTTGAATCATATACTACCCAACGTTTCAAAGGGAAAATCAAACAAGTCGAGTTAATTATACACTTGGAATATTATGAAAAATCAGTTTTGTTCATCGTGGAGATATAATAATACCCAATGAAAAGTGGAGTAGTATATCTCAGTTGTATATAGAGTGAAGGAATACGTTTAGCACTTCAACGAAACCGATGATGACCCACAAGAATCACAATGGGGTGAATCTAGGATTCGAACCCAGGCCTAACGGCTCTGACAGAGAAGGGGAACATCAGCGAATATCGGCGCCTTATACCGTTTCTAATTGAAATCGAAATCCACATGTGTTTCGACAGCACATTATTAAACCACTTGGGACGAAGGACGTGTGTACACCTATTAATTCTTGAGACAATACTTACCATTCGCTCATTTCCTCTAGCAACCTGTCCAAGGAGTATGTTCTTTTTTTGAGCAAACTACATGGTTAAGGGAAAACAGTTTATGTAAAAAACAAACAAAATAAAACAAACATGAAGACATTGTGTACGGCCTGTTTAACAGTATGGATGTGTCGCATACAATGAAATGATTATTTGCATCGCGTTAATTTCGTCGTATTAATAACAAACTGATATTATTTGATTAGTGATATTATTATTTATGATATTGTCAGTATAGTTTCCATTGAATAATAATCTTTCCAATGCTGGCATAGGGGGTATTCGAGGTATTCCGAGGACACCTGCATGTATACTACTCAAAACAAGTTAAGAACCAGCAAATTCTTTCATATTGAAAGAATCGCATGGTCCTTCACCTTTCTAATAGTATAGATGACACTGACCGTAAATATACGCACGGAGAACTACTAACACGTAAACTGGTATTCATTCTTTTAATAGACAATTCCCCGCACACGCTGTTCATACATTAGAATGACAAGTATTTTAGTCACTTTCTTTATGGATTAAATTTCCGTCGTTATGTTAAATCACCAAACAACCTCTTGTTCATCGCGATTGGGGGCATGTTTAATTAATGCATATTGTGTATAAAGTTTATAAAATGGGTGTTTGAATTCATTTCAGTTTCGTGAAAGTGATTTTACAGTCCATCCCAGTACAGACATTTGATATGTAAATATATTCTATATACGTAGAACGGTGCCGTTGTGGTGTATATTCTCTGTACGCTAAGTAGAACGTTGTAGTCACGTGGTGCTGTCCTCAAAACACCTTAACACAAGCCAAGGAGTATGGCCCAACGTTACCTTGGTCCGTTCGGTGACCTTGACTGGCGTACGTTGTCTGGCGTACGTGATGTTGGCATAAGGTGGAAAGTGTGATCAATGTGAAGAGTGTGTCACGTGATATTCTCTAATGTCAAATATCCATATCATAGTTTATGGCACCTGACATCTATGATCATATCCTGTTCCACCGTCAGATGTCAGCATATTGATATGTCCGGACATAAAACGAAGGCATATTACAAGGCACTTTATCCGTAGTACAGTCACGCCCTTCACTTAACACTGTACACAAATACTTTTGATTGTTTTGGCTAAAACGGGTACGATGCAGCAGAACCCGTGGGTGCTGCGTATCACTATCTGAAGTGGTATCCAGCCACGCCTCGACATCAAAGCTTGGTTGATGGTGGCGGGGGTGGCGGGGGGTGGGGTGGTGGAGGTGGAGGTGGGGCTGGCACTGAATCAAAAGGCGAATTCGCGCTATTAAACGGCGGGGATTGGGGGCTCTCTTGGCCTCGTGGAATAATCTCTGGTGGTGACATGGTGAACTGTACAGCACGACGTCCTGAGCTGTCAACAGAGGCATCGTCCGGGAAAAATCATCCGGTAATGTCGAAGTAGGGGGTGGAGGGGAGGGGCCGCCATCCCCACTTTGTTGCCGTCGCTTCATCAATTCTTCAATTAGAGCGTTCTTCATTGGAGAGTCATTGGTACCAATGATCTTCTGCCTCATGGAACCTCTCTGTGACGTCTCAGGTACCTCGTCTACAACGTCCTCATTCACATGCCGTATCATCCCAGGTGGGGGAGTTGGCGGGCGGAATTTTAACCGGTTGTATGTCGGATCTTCTTCCGGCGAAGATGATCGGTTCATGTCGGGTGGCGTCGGTATTCTCCGTGTGTAGGAGTACTCAGTTTCGCCGGCTTCCGGTTCCGGATCAATGACAGGTTCGCCGTCATATGGCGGGGTCGGAGGGCGTCGGGGTTGTCGGGCTGGGTAGATATCAGTTGGCTCTGATCTTAAAGCATCTTTCTCAACGTTCATGAAGCTAAAGGCGGAAGTGACAACTTGCTCCTCATGATCATAGGGACCGTTATAGTCCTCACGAGGAGTCACAACTGGATGCTGAAAGTCAGATGTCGAATCAAAAAGATAATCAGCTCGCGGTGTCGTCTCCTTGAATGCCGAAGATGCATTGCTGCTACCGAACACCGTCGGCTCTTCCCGTTCTTCCTGTTTATAAAAGGAGTAGCTCATTGGCTGAGGTGAAGGGTCACGACGAGGTGCAGGGTCAGAAATTGGTTCCGGGTCAGGAATGTGATGTACTGCCGATCCGTTCGAGAGTCGTAATGGTTCTGGCTGTGGGTCAGAGGTGTAATGTGTTGTCAAACCGTTCGACAATCTAGGGGGTTCTGGTGCAGGGTCGGGGTCCTTGATGTGAGATATCCTTGATACGTGAAGGTCAAGGCCGGTTGTAATGGGCGCGGACACCGTCCTCGAAACTGAGAGATTCTGATGGCTGTTCGCCGGGGCCAAGATGATATCGCCTTCCTTCGCCTTGATTGTCGCAGATTCATGGCTGCGCCGAGAGCTGCGTCTATCATCAGACTTTGATTTTCTAAGATTTTCAATTCTGTCACGTGACTTAGATCTCGATCTTGACTTTTTATCTCGAGATTTAGCCCTGTGTCTGTCGCGTGTTTTAGTGCGCCCTCTGTTGGATTCATACACTCTTCCATTTGGACGTTCGTTATCCGAGGATACAATGCCTACCTGAAAAGAAGAAATATGGTAACAACAATTATTCAGATTCTTATGATACACATTTAAAAAGGCATATACAACGGAATACCAAAAGATTGTTATACGTGAACCAGCCTCATTTCTCACTGCGGACTATTACATTGTTTCCAAACAAACGGTTCTACAGTCTCCCCAATACAATATCGCTTCCTACAATTAAGTGTATAAATGATGGAAACAGCTTGTCAGAACACTTAAACTTACCCTCTCCTCAGCACTTTCAATTTCCCTGGAAGGAAAAAGAGAAGATCATATTAACCTTTATGGTTAAATTTCACGATAATCATATTGACTGGGTTTTTACGAAAGAGTCGCAAATGCACTGGCTAGTTCCAAACACAAACGTACTCGCACTGATCGCCAGAATGAGTTTAACAGACGTGCGTAAGAAAACACCCAGTTTCCAAAATATTTGACAAACAGCTTTAATAATGTTTCCAACAATTGCATGTTTACATCTGCATTTTTTCACCAATGTAACTTACTGTCTAACGCGGGCGTAGCTTTTGCAGAGAAAAGGTATTAAGTTTTTAAACCGGCACGCCGATCACATACAGGGGAGGTAACTCTGAAATACCCGGTCACCACGTGTGTGGGAAGATATCGTAACAGATCCTTACCTGACAAAAAGACCTCCAGGCGCTCCATTCGCTGAAATATATAATATATATAACTTAGTGTCATAGTTACAATGTTGCAGGAAAGTTAAAAACAAATATGGCAATGATTCACAAAACCTTGAAGTAGGTGAATATTTCCTCAGGGCAATAAACCTGCTGATTACAGTGCTATTGCGCTTGGAAGCACACGATCACAATACCACTGTTTGATTGCTCCAGATATAGGTTATAGTTATTTTTCTAAGATGCTTTGCTAAGAGATCAAAGGCGTCGACAGTACTTTATCGGGCGATAAAGCACACATTTTTGCATTACGTCACACTGTATTGACGTTACTAGCCATTCTCGTCTACCACCTCGTAATCAAACGTACCTTTGGTAACCGACGTCACAATGCATGTCAGTTGTCATCGCCCCGTAAAGTCTCCTACAGTAAACTACTCCGTAGCATCCCGTTTCTTGGTTTGCAGTTGCTTCGCTCGACTAACATCACTGGTGGAAACATTACGTCTAACCTTTTTCGACGGATATTGCGTCCGAATGCACGTTATAATAGTTCAGGGCAAAAGTGTACTTTATTACACTATACATAGGGGTAGAGCGAATTGTATTCCTTAAATATACAGTACAACCAGAAAGTATTGAGAATTTAAAGATTGTAATTTTTTAAAAAAAAATCACTCATTACTCACGTATTAAATGTGAACATTAGTAGAACATAACTCCAGATTGAAAGACAAGTGAACAGTTAGTATTTTGTCAAGTCACCATGGGCAGCAATACAGGCTTCAAATACTACTGATCAAAGAAGTTAGAAAGTCGCGGTCCATGCTGTCCCAATATCGGACCACCTCTTCTTTCATTTCAGTAATATTTGTCAGATTGTTCTTATTGACACTTTCCTTCATAAGTCCCCAAACATTTTCTATTGGATTTAGGTCAGGGCTATAGCTTGGCCAATCTAATAATGTCATATTTTGGGTCCGAAACCAGAGGCCTGTGAAAGCTTTGAACGATGTTTTGGGTCGTTGTCCTACTGGAAAATCCAAACATTTCCATAGAATACGTGAGCAGATGGAAGTAAATGTCCCTCGAGAATATATGTGTACCGCTCACTGTTCATATTCCCTTCAAATACACAGAGGGGCGTTGCCCCTAACACAGATATGCCACCCCACACGTTAAATGTCGGACTGTACTTTGGGCGCTGATATAAAGGTTTTTCAGTTTGTTTGGTCCAGAATTTCAGTGTATTAGGAAACAGCCACACAGAACTTTCATCTGAGAAAATCACATTGTCCCAGTTAAAATTTCTATGCTGTAAGCACCAGTTCAACCTTCGCTCTTTTGTTCAGGTTTCATGATCGGTTATAGAATTCCTCGAATTTTCTGCCAACCCATTGCATGCAGTTCAGTTCTAATTGTCTCCTTACAGACAGCCACAGTTCCTCTATCAATCATATCCAGCCTTAAGTTTTATAAACTCCTTTGTTTGTTTTTAGAAACAAGAATACCAAGACGCTTGGAAACCTGTCACCGACAGTCAATTTTCTGGGCCTACCTGCGCCTCCCTGGTGCTCAATGCCATATCCATTTGCAATATTTTTCAAAACGGGATAAACAGTGGACAAAGGGGTGCCTGTTCTACTTGAAATCACTTTAGCTGATCTGATGTCCTTGTTATAATACTCTAAAATCAACTTCCTCTTCTATAAATCATCCATACTGAGGATCACTGAAAATGTCTGCTAGCAAGTAAACAAAGGGGGGTAACTCTTCACAAACTAATGAAAAAGGATTAACGGAGTTGTCTCTCTTGAATGAAACCAAGCACTTGATAGCTGGTCAAGGTTGTTTATACTAGAAATCCAATTAAACATATTCCTAAAATTCTCAATAATTTCTGGTCATACTATATGCTTGGACTATAAACGCTGCGTTACGAGTCTCATCCTGCTGATTGATCCCAGCATTTTTAACAAACATGGAATAAGGTGAAGCCAGGTTTGACTTCTGGAATTCGACCACTTACAATACGACGATGCGGACAAGGTACTTGTCCTGTTACGACTCGTGTGTTTGTGTCTTTACCGGAACGTCACTTTGTAGTGAGCGAGTGAATGAGTATGGTTTTACGCCGCTTTTAGCAATATTCCAGCAATATCAAGGCGGGGACACCAGAAATGGGCCTCACACATTGTACTCATGTGGGGAATCGAACCCGGGCCTTGGGCGTGACGAGCGAACGCTTCAACCACTAATGATGCAGTTGACATACATAAGCCGCCCCTGACGTCACTGACAGCACGGCTTGTCAACGCCACAAAATACCACGGTAGGAGTCGTCCGGTTCCGTGGGAGTAGGTGTGATCTCAGCGCTAAGGTGATCGTGTACCCAATATTCAAAGGCATATGATAACCGTAGCGCTAAGGTGATCGTATACCCAATATTCAAAGGCATATGATAACCGTAGCGCTAAGGTGATCGTATACCCAATATTCAAAGGCATATGATAACCGTAGCGCTAAGGTGATCGTATACCCAATATTTAAAGACATATGATAACCGTAGCGCTAAGGTGATCGTATACCCAATATTCAAAGACATATGATAACGGTAGCGCTAAGGTGATCGTATGCCCAATATTCAAAGGCATATGATAACCGTAGCGCTAAGGTGATCGTATACCCAATATTCAAAGGCATATGATAACGGTAGCGCTAAGGTGATCGTATACCCAATATTTAAAGGCATATGATAACCGTAGCGCTAAGGTGATCGTATACCCAAAAATTCAAAGACATATGATAACGGTAGCGCTAAGGTGATCGTATACCCAATATTTAAAGCATATGATAACCGTAGCGCTAAGGTGATCGTATACCCAATATTCAAAGGCATATGATAACCGTAGCGCTAAGGTGATCGTATAACCAATATTCAAAGGCATATGATAACCGTAGCGCTAAGATTGCTTTCTACAAGGCCAACCGGAGCATTTGTATTTTCACCCACATGAAATCAAAGCACCTTATCTTAGCCTTGATATCAAATACTCGGTTTCGAATTGTTCACATGCGGGACTGCTTGAATTTGACAAGTAATTGAACATAAACGAATCATGGCTCCAGACATAACACTGCAAGCCACTCTTGAGAAGCAGGTTTTGGTAAAATGTCCTTATTAGATACACCAGTATCACTACAGGGTGAGATATATACCAAGGATTCAGAAGGAAGCAGGTTTTGGTCAAATGTCCTTATTAGATACACCCATACCACTACAGGGTGAGATATATACCAAGGATTCAGAAGGAAGCAGGTTTTGGTAAAATGTCCTTATCAGATACACCAGTATCACTACAGGGTGAGATATATACCAAGGATTCAGAATGAAGTGTCGAATGGAACACGAGAACATAAAACAGTACAACTTCCAATAACGATCACGTTTTAAGAGTTGAATATGTAAGCGTGTGGCTGAGAATGTGCATGTTGTTTTGCGGAGCAGTCAGAAATAGTCCGTCTATATCACTACGGTGTGTAAATGGGAACACCAATGATTGATATCATGAGCACCGTGTCTTGCCTTCTAGATACAATGATGTACAGTCAACTACAACATAACCACCCAATGTTAATTGTGGCCAGTTCTTATGGCCAGTGTGCGTTGCTGGATACATATTTTACTCAGAAACCCGATTGGGACCAGTCTTGATGAATAGAAAGAACGAATCTAACTTGACTGAAACAGCGCAAACTTAACTAAGATACCCGCTTATGACACCCGTATCAAATACAGCTTGTTCAGCTTGACCTGATCAAACGAATACTAATGAATTGCGTGACCGTGTCACAACTGGTTGAGTCTATTATTGTGAAGGGGTGCACCTTTGTCAGATGATTGGTGTAAACGACTGGACTGATTGCTGTGCCCATGTTAAAATTTGGAAAGCGACTACTGGGACAGAAATATTGCAGTTGAACATGAAATAGGAAAAGTGATAATTGAACTGGGTGTAGAGAGTGATAGCGAGAGTGAATCGGATTGTGAAAGTAACTGACGTCTGTAAGTTGTAAAGTTAGCAAACCAAACTAGATAGCTTATGACTGTATAAACATGACATGATTGTTTTTTTTCAGAAGTGTTGTTTTCCGGGACAAGTTCTGTAACGAATCCATGTATGCATGCTTCGCACGAAAGCAACATTAATAACATTCTCTGCACCCCTATTTAATGAAGATAACCCGATCCGCCGTTTGGGCCATTTGACCTCCCGGGTCATGCATATGTAGAGTAGCTCAGGTCAAGCTGAACAAGCTGTACATCGACATCGAATAACCATTTCTTGTGCTTCGTTTTCAGCCTGCATCAAACATGGGTGTATAGTTTTTTTCTGTCTATAAGCTGTGTCAGATCTGTGTCATGATCTGATATATATCATAGTGGTGTTTGAGTTGGGTGAACATATCGAAACGTGTGGCTCACCTTGTCGATCATGGCCGACTTGCTCACGGTCCCGAATTGTAGATTGGGACGACCCATGAACTTTTCTTCTGCCATTTTCATCGTCTAGGTAGACGACCGCCCCACTGTATCCTATCGTCGGTCGGAAGGCGGGATAGGGCTGGCCACCCCTCACGGTGAAGAAGTTCAGTGGCGGTCTTGCCCGGGGGTGTACGGCATGAGTAGTGTAGGAGGGGCGGGGGCGATATCTCTGGGCGGTGAGCGGAAACTCCTGCTGAATCGGCTCCTTTTCATCATCCGAAGATGAATACCTGAAAACCCCCAATGTCATGACGTCACACTCGTGTCCAGTGAAACTAAAGTGTTAACCTAGGTTCTTTATAGACATCAGGTTGTGTAGAAGACCATGAGAGATTTGAGAACAAAGTTTGTCAGTGAGTACTGGCTCTTCTGTCTTCATACATGTAGATATAATCGCTAGTCCTGCCATTTGAATATAGTTTGATTGGTCATCACATGTCCAGCGATGCTTTAACGTCAATTCCACGGTGTATTGACGACGTTTGCTATCACTTGTTCATTAACCTGAAGGGATATAGATGATGCCCTCTTGTTTACAGTTAACGAGTGAGTGAGTTTAGTTTTACTCCTTACTCAGCAATATTCCAGCTATACGGCGGCGGTCTGTAAATAATCGAGTCTGGGCCAGAAAAGTCAGTGATCAACAGCATGAGCATCGATCTGCGCAATTGGGAACCGATGCCATGTGTCAACCAAGTCAGCGAGCCTGACCAACCGATTCCGTTAGTCGCCTCTTACGACAAGCATGGGTTACTGAAGATCAATTCTAACCTGGATCTTCAACCCGGTGTTACAGTTAATACTGAGACATAGTCTAATTAACCCCCCAAAACGACAACAACAAAAACACTCACATTTTTCGCATTAGTTTCACACTCCATATTTTACTTTCAAGAAGTACATCCCTACTTCAGTCTTTTTCCATCAGATGAGAACGATGAATTGCAAAATGACTCAAAATCGGGAAAAAGTCTGATAATGCCAATGCGGTTCACGGAAATGAATACCCTGTACCGAACAACATCTGCTGTTTGTAATTATTATACCTATCAATGGAAAAAGTTATTCAGGAAACTATCACGTGTTCAAGTTAACATCTGTAACGGAGGGAGATACAAAACGGTAGGAGAAACAGCGCCAACTTTAGTCGCAATGTGTTTCGTAAACAACTTTTCCATCAGATGGCGTTTGGTACAGGACATGTATTGCCATGTACCATACTAACACACACAACGCCTCATAAAACCCATCCAGATATACACCTACCATCACTACCACCACACCACACCAAAAATAGCGAAACAAACAAAACACCCACACCTTCAAACACCCGTCAGAAGAACCACGTCGAGAAATACCCCTTACCCAGGAGACACCACACCCCAAGGAACATCCCATCCCCCAGACACCCACACACACCCTAGAAATAAAACAACCCCACCCCCGAATTCCCCCGACAGACACTCACCTGCCGTAGAACCAGTAGATGAGGAGCGCCAGGAGACAGATGGCCAGAATTGCTGCTATACATGATGCTGCTATAAGCCCACCGAGTGTGTCGCTCGCCATTTTGCTGAAATTATAAACCCATTCTATTAAGGAACTGTCACACACAACACGACACAGCTGTCAATACATCATCACAAATTAACTAACTTGTGTGTGTGTGACGCGGATTTCGTGATCTCAATCTTGTAACGATATATTACTTTCGATATGTGCTTATTTCACTTTAAATCAGTCGGGTTAAATAATTCCTTAAGCGACCTTGCATGATATACTGTTTCTTTAGTCAAGTGGATACAGCGTCTGCCCAGGAGCGACAAGACAGTGGTTCGATCCTCGGCTTCGTCTTACCATTGGACGTTAAAAGGAGATAGAGATAAACGCTCGGTATTATCGAAATGTAATAAGCACTGGTTGGACTTTAGTGAGTATACATTGTGTCTGACTGGGATACCTAGGTACATTGTTGTATAGTATCTCAATGGGCCGGTACTATAACACCGGACTAGTACAAGCGCGCGCACGCACGCACGCATGCACATTGGAGCATGCGTGGATCGGAGTCGTCTTGAACCCGCGTTTCGAACCTACGCTCTTAGAGTCAGACACCTAACCACCAGCACACAGAGTGTCATTAGTCTGATCGTGATTAGTTTGATATCACGAGTAACTAATTTAATTTTGATTCATATTTTCCACATTCCGCGTCAGCATTGTTATACATGTATAAATTTGGTATTTCCCCGAGATGAAGGTTTAAGAATAAAGTACGGAATCTATCCTGCTCCTGACTGTATCAATTACAATGCAGATTTTGCGTCGCTTTTTACTTATTTTTTTCATGCCATTAATCAAGAACGTGAGAAAACTTAGTGTATACTTTTATTACTTTGTAACCTTAATATTAACTCATTGTAAACATGCGTTTTGTTTCATGCACGAGAAAAAATGTTTTTTAGTGTATTCTTCCCATTTAGATGTGCATATCTGTCCCTGGCGTTCTCTCGTAACACATTCAGACACACGCTCCCAGTGGTACGGGAAACAGGAAGTTACACTTATTCTGAATATTTAATGTCTAAATGCAGACTAAGGAATCAATAGAAACCGCTGGTTCCTGACAGAGAGTACATGCAGTTCAAATCTTATTCTCTGTAAAGAACCACTTGAACGGACAATACAAAGTTGCAAATATGATTAAAATGAAAGTTTATGAATTGTGGTTTCCCCACTTCATCAACCAGCACCGTTGCAAACTCAGATCTCGATGTGATGAGCAGACGCTTTACCCACTTGGCTACTCCGGCCCAATGTTTTATTGATTGGAACACAATTATAACAAACGCAGTTATTTCCGGTTTTTCAAAACAGATATATCTGCCTGTACAATGTTGCAGTCAGGGCTGACGAAGGTGTGCGGGAAGTGTCGTGACTGACGAAGGTGTGCGGGAAGTGTCGCGACGACGACACCGGTAACAACGTCAAGTGAATAATTAACAGGCTGCGTGGTTGTTGTTATCAACATTAGTATGGTGTAACCCCTTGAGACTACAGAGAACCTATTTCTACATTTTAAACTGTCCAGATAATGAAAACACGGAAGAGAAATGATCTGGTGTCGAGGTAGACATATGAGAAATGAGAAATTCCAATCGTGGTCTGGTGGATTTGTAAAGCCATATTCATGACATTTGAAAGCTAATAGATGGCGTTCATGCAAGCGCTGTTAGTGATAAACAAAGAGCACTGTAAGAATGTTGGAACAATCCACTCCAGGTGTTTGTTCTATACGCTGGCTACTGGCTATGGTAATTGTGTCCTAAAGGACACATACAGAACACTTTTCTGTAGTCGTAAAGCACACACGTGGCCTATTCTAGAAAGTGATCGTAGCATAAGACAGTTATAACACAACACACACGTGGCCTGTTTGAGAAAGTGATCGTAGCTCTATGACAGTTATAACACAGCACACACGTGGCCTATTTGAGAAAGTGATCGTAGCTCTAAGACAGTTATAACACAACACACACGTGGCCTATTCCAGAAAGTGATTGTAGCTCTAAGACAGTTATAACACAACACACGTGGCCTATTTGAGAAAGTGATCGTAGCTCTATTACAGTTACAACACAACACACACGTGGCCTATTCCAGAAAGTGATCGTAGCTCTAAGACAGTTATAACACAAAACACACGTGGCCTATTCCAGAAAGTGATTGTAGCTCTAAGACAGTTATAACACAACACACACGTGGCCTATTTAAGAAAGTGATTGTAGCTCTAAAACAGTTATAACACAACACACATATGGCCTATTCCAGATGGATCGTAGCTCTAAGACAGTTATAACACAACACACACGTGGCCTATTCCAGAAAGTGATTGTAGCTCTAAGACAGTTACAACACAACACACATATGACCTATTTAAGAAAGTGATCGTAGCTCTAAGACAGTTATAACACAACACACATATGGCCTATTCCAGAAAGTGATCGTAGCTCTAAGACAGTTATAACACAACACACACGTGGCCTATTCCAGAAAGTGATTGTAGCTCTAAGACAGTTATAACACAACACACACGTGGCCTCTTCTAGAAAGTGATCGTAGCTCTAAGACAGTTATAACACAACACACACGTGGCCTTTTCCAGAATGTGATTGTAGCTCTAAGACAGTTATAACACAACACACACGTGGCCTATTCCAGAAAGTGATTGTAGCTCTAAAACAGTTATAACACAACACACACGTGGCCTATTCCAGAAAGTGATTGTAGCTCTAAGACAGTTATAACACAACACACACGTGGCATATTCCAGAAAGTGATTGTAGCTCTAAAACAGTTACAACACAACACACATATGGCCTATTCCAGATGGATCGTAGCTCTAAGACAGTTATAACACAACACACACGTGGCCTATTCCAGAAAGTGATTGTAGCTCTAAGACAGTTATAACACAACACACACGTGGCCTATTTAAGAACGTGATTGTAGCTCTAAAACAGTTATAACACAACAAACATATGACTTAATCCAGAAGGTGATTGTAGTTGTATGACAGTTGTAACGCAGTCCTAATTAATATATGTTTTCGCACTGCCTTCATAATGCTAAAATTGATTTGCGGAACTCAACTTCAGTTTTCGTTGTTTGTTGACCCGAGGACCAAGACCATCGATGAATCAGGCCATGTATCACTAGGGCAATATTATCTGAGGACTACAGTCATCACTAAACCTGATTTTGCATCATAACACCATGGTAACAAGAGGCCTGTAATCACTGAAACACATCATCAAGATCAGAAGAGGACTGAAACTGCAGGTGAATCGGACTTCTTGTTTAACGCACCAGCTGCTTCTAAGATAGACCAGCGTTTTTCATGCTCTTAAATTCCTTTGCATAGAACCTATTTAGAATTGTTTTGTTTCATCAGGACATTTGTTTCACAGATAAATCAACAAATGTTTTAGAGAACATGCTTGTCTAATAAAACAAAACGTACATTAATTAGTTCAGAAAACAACGTGTTTAGCATGTTCATCTCTACAAAGCACTCGGGGACACCATGTGTAGGAGTTGATTTATTGGGAACTCCTGAGACACGACGCTCTGTAACTTTCATTGTTCTATGGCATGTCAAATCCGCATTTATATGTAAGAAAATCTGCTTCAAGGCTTGCAAAGAGCATAAATCATAATTTCTTTTTATTCAAAATTAATTTCCCCAACCCGAGGGCATTCGAAGCATATATTCACTATGTTCTGAATTTAAATTAGCAAAGGTTGACCTTGAGGTGCAGTCATTTTAGCACATAACCGTTCTGCGTGACCAGTGTGCTTCGTGTCACATACTGCGTGTCACGTCGCAGTCCGCCATTCCACGCACCTCCCTCTAAACAACTGATGGATATCATGACATGGAAGTTGGTAGTCACTATACGAATTTATGAACACAAGGTTTATTAGGTGCACTGTGGTATAAGCATTACAAATGAGGGAACTCGTTTGTTTCCCCTCTCATTTGTAAAACAAAGAGCTTTGAATATGACCCCCATGAAAATACCCATAAACCTGTTGGTTTAGATTGGAATGTCCAAATATATATTTCATGCCACAGCAAAGACTGACAAAGTGAAATATTCAGTTCAGTTCGCAACGGCAGATTTACGTAGATTTGTGTAGATTTGCCTAATCCCACGCATCCTGAGAAATGCAATGTCAATGACCGATGTCACTGAGATATTTCATGTGGGTATCTGCAGTATCCCCTTCTGCAGAGGGGTGTTTATTCACTCACTAACCCTTCCTAAATGCGGTTTAGCAGCGTGGTAAGCGGTGACGAGGAAGGTCGGGGTTCGATTCCTCGCATCGTAAGAAGCTTAATTTTCCGTCGCTGGGCTATTGCTTTGAGTGGCATAAAACTATGCTCACTCACTTGCACACATACATGTCTGGGGTTTTTTTCAGACTGGTCATGTTGTAGGATAGGTCAGATTATGGAAACATTTGGCCTGAAAGGCCTCCATCCCGCTGCGACATAAACACAGGTATACAATTATCCGGTCCGCTGGTCATAATAACCTTATTGTTATGGTGATAGAGGCTGTACTGTCTCACGTATACCCTGGGGCTGTCGATACATCATACCTGTGTGTCTTACCTAGCTAATGGCGTTTCTTACTTCGCTACCGTGTCTAACCTAGCTAATGGCGTTTCTTACTTCGCTACCGTGTCTAACCTAGCTAATGGCGTTTCTTACTTCGCTACCTGTGTGTACTATCACGCTACGTGTGTGTCTTACCTAGCTAATGGCGTTTCTTACTTCGCTACCGTGTCTAACCTAGCTAATGGCGTTTCTTACTTCGCTACCGTGTCTAACCTAGCTAATGGCGTTTCTTACTTCGCTACCTGTGTCTAACCTAGCTAATGGCGTTTCTTACTTCGCTACCTGTGTCTATCACGCTAGCTTACCTAGCTGGCGTTTCTTACTTCGCTACCTGTGTCTAACCTAGCTAATGGCGTTTCTTACTTCGCTACCGTGTCTAACCTAGC